CAGCGTTAATCACTATTCCACCTTAATGATAAAAAAAGTTAGATACCTCATACCTCATACTAGTAACCGAATTATTAACACCACCTTTACTGTCCACCGACCCAACTTCACCGTCTCGTGGAATTAGGGGATGGTCCTCCCCATAAGCAATATCAAGTACCATTCAGAACATCCAATTTAGATCACAAATACACGAGCATGACTTAAGGGCACAATGATAGAAATATGTCTTTCACAACTTACCGGCAAATGCCCGAATTCTTCATCCGACCGTCTATCTTCGTCTACAGATGCAATCACCTGTTCGGAATTCCACATCATGATCCTAGGATACAGACCCCACCGTGTTCGTACACGGTGGAGGTGATCAATAAACGCATATTCCCCTTAGTACATTAGTGACTGTTAGGGGTTAAATCCTTAAACAAACAAAAAAAGGAACTAAGCTTACCAACAAAAACACAATGCTCCCACCACATCTGCACCGAAAGAAATTTTTCTGAAACTTTGTGTGAAATCGATCAACAGAGTTGCACACCCAACCAATTGTGAACTTGCACCAATCATACTTTGCGGCTTTACATGCTACTACCAATGTCGACACTAAGGATGCGACCAAATTCGAATTGTTTGTCGTCGTGCAGACTATAATTCCTAGGACTACGAACTATAAAAAATGCAATCATAAATCCTCTTTATTAACTTTTGTCTCCAAATCGACAAGAGAACCATCTTCCAGCTCATGGCACATGGCTGCAACTGCTAGATTCAAGGACACTGTTTCTCCCTTCAGCCCTACACCATATTGGTTAACTACATACCCTTATAATCTTCTTGATATCCACTTCGTCATTCCCTAGCACAAGAGGAACTTCCTTGGTTCCCAGTGGAATACCAAGAATGGACCTTACTTGATTGGGCCGTAGAGGAAGAATTGCTCCATCTCTAAATACCATTGTCCCATCGGCAAAAGCTCTACTCATCAGCCAGTAACCGAATTCTCTTAAGATATTATTTGTATCCAAATTTAGCAACCCCCTAAATCCCCTACTATGCACCAACTCCCACCTAGTCCGATCAAACTTCTTGACAAGAACACAAAACTTTTCTACTTTACATACCTGTAGGGAATAATTTCAAGCCTTTAAAATCCCACTAGCTTGAACCCCACTGTGATCATACACTAAAGTACGGTGGCGTCCAAAAGGGAAGAAGGTAGAGCAAAAGAGTCGCCAACAAGTTTTTTAGGAACTTGTAAACCGTTCATAGGATGAAGGTTACACCCCTTAACGATCCAAGAGATCGTCAACTCCATAAGGTCATGAACCAAATAAGGGTTCGGGGATGATGGTACAAATCCAACCTAAAAGAGATTGAACCTGCCCTAATAATAGGCCACTACTTTATTCTACTCGTATTCATGTGCGCTTTCTGATTAACATGCAATCAACAGGATTAACCCTAAACATGTTTAGTCTATGTTGGTTGAATTTAATGCACAAATAAATTATTATTGGCGATCACTTGAAATTATCATCACATTAACCCTAAACAAGATTATTAATTATCTTATTAAGCGTGATTAAAAGTACCAAATTCCCTTTAAACAGGCAATGAAGGTGTGATCAAACAATAAAGAATAAGCATCAAGCAACATAATAAATAATCAATAATAATCATGAAGAAAATAAATTATAATAACAATCATCATAATAATAATAATATTAATAATCATCATAAATTATAACAATTATAATCATAATCATGTTCATGTTAATATTAAAACATAATAAAAATAGCAAGATCCTAGGCATGATACTAACAAGATTAATAACAAACCCTAGCATGTCACTAAGCGATAAAAATCAAATCTTTAGCCCTAACATGATACTAACAATCATAAATATTAGGAAGAACATAGGAAGCATCATAGAAATCATATTTAATATTAAAAATATCCTAGACATGGTACTAGGAATATCATAATAACAATATAAACATGATATCTACATCATAAATCAATAAACCAATAAAGTACTTACTTTAATGCCTCGTACCTCTTTCTAATAACAAAATACACACGTTAGTAACTTCAAGGAAAATAATAAAACAAAACAATCAAATTAAATAATTGAAAGAGAGATTTGGGACCAAACCCTCAGAAATTAAACCTTTCACGTCTAGGGCGAAGGCAACTTCGAATATGGCTAGGTGTTTCTAGATCTTGCGAATGCGGAATTTTGTATGAAAAAGAAAGAAAGAATTGAATGCTAAAGAATACTTGAGAATGAGAGAATTGGTGAATTGGTGAATGCAGATGATGAATTCGTGAATGAAAACGGAGTTTTTGATACGATATTTATAGAGAAAATCAGCCGAAAAAGAAAATTTAACAAAACAGAGTCTGAAGATCGCAAAACAGGATTGGCCCCAACCCTGGCTAGCTGGCGCCAGGCACCAGTGGCTAGCGCCTGGCGCCAAGGCCTGGGGTTGGACGCCAAACTGGATTTCAATGCGTTTTTGAAAATCTGATAAATTTACCGTACTAGAAGATAAAATAATATAATTTCTTCGAAAATGCTATTTGATCTTGATTAAAACTCTGAAAAGTCAACAAAGTCAACTTATCAATGCTAATTGAATTAGGAATGAAAAGAACCTTCTAGAAGACTAAAACCATCCCTAATTGCATTAGGACTGATAAATCATATTAGGCCCTCCCCTAGATCATTGGGTCGTACATAAAGCTCAAACCGGGCCCAGTTTAGTAAATTGGCTATAACTTCCTCAATATTCATCGGAATTGGGCTTATAATATATCGTTGGAAAGGTCTTTGCAATCCCCATCCAACTACACCACTATTGGACTCATATCATGGACCAATCAAACTGGATTGGCTGTTTTCTTAAAATAAAGTTTTCCAAAACAGGGAGAAGAGAAAAGAAATAAAACTTTCCGCAACACTAGACCTTTCCACACTTTCGTTTCATTCGATTATGATTCGACGTGAAAGGTACTCATCACCGGGTTTGGTTTTGGGGAGACACAAATGGGTGTCTACAATACCACATTCGACTGCTGTTACACAAAGCATCATGTTAGAACCATGGATAATTACCATGATCAATTACCAGCTATATACAACCCAAAATAAAATACATTTAATTCAAATCAACTCATCTCATTTCCCATACACAACAAATTAAAACTACACAATATAATAACTTCTAATATCAATAAGCCTTAAGCATAAAAATTTCAATACATTCTCAATGTTCTCATAATGTGTCCGTAGGACAACACCGTCAACCATGACTCTATGTCCTTTAGTTTTAATACCCTGCCAATAAATAAATTACTTTGTCACTGTATAAATAATAATAATTAAATTTAGTTACCGCCACTAAAACTTAAAGAAAGCTGCACAACACGATTTAAAGTGATCATTTTAAGATTCAATCAATTAAAACAATACATACATACATCTATCAAATTTGGATCATAATTTTTATGACATACCTTCGATCTTATCCGCACCACCGTACACCGACTTCCCTTTTCTCTTCCTACTCTTTCTCTTCAAATACTCCTTAATCAGCACCTCCATAAATCTAGAACTTGAATCTAAATCACCCTCATTGCTTGAATGTGCAGATTCCTCAGCCTCCTCATCCTCACCTTTTTCATAGTCTTTGACAAGATCACTGTACATTTTGCCTTCTGTTTACCAGTCATAGCCACAGGTTTCAGTTGGCCCATAGGTTTTGCCTTAGATATCAAAGCCATGGGTATCAATTGCCCCACAGGTTTTGACTTCCAAGATACCTCCCGTTTTAATGGACCCTTAAAAAAAGAGACAAATAACTTCAACAATAATAAGATGGTTATTCTACCATTATATGGTCATTAAAACAATCAAACTCACCCCCACTTTGTCTGATAAATCGACTGCATAATTGACTCCTTCATGACTTCACTCTAGCTGATCACAATTGTAACACAAATTAAGTTCCAATACCAATTCATCTCAAATTTCAAATCCAAAACACCTTAATTCATTTATACTTCATAGCCAAATTCTACATTCACTACGTGCATTGCATGAATCTTAATGTACTACATATACATACTAGAATGTATTAAACACACATACTAGAATACAACTCAACAAAAGCAAATTTTTGTATAACATCCATTGAAATTGACATTCCATTATGCAAAATAATTCACCCATAGAGAAAACCATCAGCAAAATAAAACACCGTCTTTATTATGCACCTGCCCATAGTATCATACACATACATATCCAATCATTATTAACTACTAACTCACTTATAACTACTCATACAGCATACCATTGCATGAAAACTGACATCCAGATGAAGACCATACATTATAACAATAAAGAGGCTAAACATAACAATTCTCCAACCAATCCTTAACTACTTCCGTCCCTAAAGTCACAAACTACAGATTTTTATCCCCATTTCACCAACCAATTTTCATAATTGCAACCCAAATTCTTTCATTTTATACACTTTTAAGGCCACCTAACATAAACCCCCTCACCTTTTGGCCGTAATTATACCGTAATAACCATATTTTGTTTTAAATTTTTCTTATGATTGAACTGAAGTAGACAACTGACCCCCCCCCCCCCCCCTCTCTCCATGCCCACCCTCCCTATCTATTCATTTTTTTTCCTAAACTCTCAATTTTTTACACGTGCTTGAATCTCATACTCTGATTATTATTTTTTGCTCCCTTTCGCTTCTATTTGATGTTAGATGTTAGATTATGCTTTCAAGAATTTACAGCGTCCTAGCCGTAAATGTGTTCCTCCTCCTTATATAGTCATAGCACTCAACAACTCTTTATTCTCGTTTTTTTCTTCTAAATTTCAGGTGATGATATTTGGTCACACAAAATCTTAAAGTGACATTGCGTAGACCTCTCAACTCTGTCAGTAGCTTAACCATTACTTTATAGTCTTAACACTATGAAAGACATAAGAGTAGCCCGTCCTTCTGTTGCTGCATCTGATGAAAAAACTCAGATTCGGCTATCTGACTTGATGAACGAGAATGATTTATCATCCAACCGTGTTCAGTACACCCCTGAAATTGAGAAGACGTATGTTCACCAGGTTTATGATGCAATTGCTCCTCACTTTAGTTCAACTAGATTTGCTAAATGGCCTAAGGTTGCATCGTTTTTAGATTCTTTGCCTCAAGGATCTCTTGTCCTGGATGCAGGATGTGGAAATGGGAAGTACCTGGGTTTTAATCCCAACTGCTTTTTCATAGGATGTGATATAAGCTCGCCTTTAATTGGTATATGTACAGAGAGAGGGCATGAAGCCTTGGTCGCTGATGCTGTAAATTTGCCTTATAAAAGTGTCTTTGGTGATGCAGCAATCTCAATTGCTGTGTTGCATCACTTGAGTACTGAAAGTAGGAGGAGAAAAGCCATTGAAGAGCTGGTTAGAGTTGTTAGGAAGGGAGGTTTAGTGTTAATAACAGTCTGGGCTGTTGAGCATGAAGACCAAGGTTTGCTAAGTAAATGGACCCCATTGTCGCATAAGTACCTAGATGAGTGGATTGGACCCGGTAGTCCACGTGTGCGTAGCCCCCGGTCATTGAATTTGGAAAGCATTCCTGAAAGCAAAGAGAAAGGTCCTCGAGAGTCATGCAAAGTTTCTAGAGAGTCCCTTGGTGCAAGGCTGGATAAAACCATGAAAATAAATGACCAAGAAAATTCCTATAATGATGATAGGTGTACAGAAAATCAACAGGAGTACTTTGTTCCATGGCACTTGCCTTATCATCGTGCTGAAATTAATGGTGCTTCTGCTTGTGCTGTTGCAAATGGTCTGGCAAGAAAAGATGACAAGAAGGGTGCTGTGGTGTATAAGCGATATTACCATGTGTTTAGTGAAGGTGAACTTGAAAGGTAACATGTTACATTGCACTTATCATCCTTCTTTAATATTTTGCTTGAATGTGAATGGTTCAAGTCTTTAAATAGCTAGCTGCATTGCTATGAATTATGGAGTACATTTTGTAGGCTGTTTCATGCATCTTGCTTTATTAATTCCAATAGTGCTACAAATGGGGTGGAGAAACTATCGAAATAAGGAAACAGTTTCAAATCAACTGCAATTCTGCTGGAGAAATGTAGAAACTTATATAGCGTAGGTAGGGTATATATTCTCTTAAAACGGTATTGTGGAATATGCAATATCCATGTCCAACAGTGATTTTTTTTTTTCCTGTTTAAAGTCAATTTTCTAGAACTACTATATCAGAAAGAAACAAGCTGATAACCCTCTCTGCTATTTTCTAAAAATAGAGCCAATCGTTTTAGTATTTAAATGTCAAAGATGCGAATGCAATCTTGAATTATTTCCATATTAGTAGTTCTCCATTATTTTTCAATTCTCAGGTAGTCCTTTACCACCACATCGAAGGAGAGAAGAGTCAGTCTTATTAGCAATTATAGTAAACAGAAAAAAATTCTAAGAATAAATCACCGCATGTACTAGAGACATTTATGATCTGGGTTTAGATGAACCTGAGGTACAATCAACTTATTTAGTTGAGACTTTTGGATTTAGAAGCCTCCAAAAAATCTAACTTGAAAAATGAAACCTATATATTGGTCTATTGGGGTAGTGTTGCTATCATTTAAAAAAAACTGTTTTTGAATACTTGAGTCCTCAAGAAATTAAGCTTAATTCAGTTGATCTTACTATTATTCTAGCTAATACCCTATGATCCTACGTTAATAACTTTTTTCTTTTGGAAAAATTGACGCTACCAGTCCTAATTGTGAACATTCTTCTTTAATGATCCTAATTATCGATTAACTCATGGCAGTACTAGCTTTGGGGGATCCTTCTTAAAATAGTCTTTACCTTATTATGACTGGTAATCTGGTTAAAATTGCCACGTATTGAATTTTTATTGGTCCGTTTTACTGAATATTATTGTTGTTAGGTGAAGAGAATAGGGCCCAAAGGGAGGTCGTGGGTCATTAGAGTGGTGGAGGATTAATTTTTTTTTTTTTTTTTACTATGCCTAACGGAAATAAAACACTTGCCAACTATTATCCGGTCAAACCATTTAAAATTATGTTAAGGACTGTTTTGAAAGGACTCCCGTAAATTTTGATGACCTTGAGTTAATCAATAGTTGGGACTTTTTCAAGAAAATTGGCCATAGTTGGACTGTTGGCGCAAATTTTCCTTTTTTTTTTTTTTTTTTTTTGCCTGGTTTCCTCGTGTGTTTCTAACATAGCTGCTTTTACTTTATCAACTTCATGCACAATGTCTTCTAGTTTTACATGTTTGGAATTAGTGAACCATTTCCCAACTTCATTCATTCTAACTTGTGTCAGCATGATTGACCGCTGTTGAGTGCAGCTAATTTTGCTTAAGTATCTGTGGAGTTTTTTTTTTTTTTTTTTTCCCAAGGCTTCAGAAGAATCTATGTTTCTGTTGAGCAACTTCCTTGAGTTTCTGATAATGTTTTCTGTATATCTGTGTGTTTGGAACTTTTCTACTGCTTGTTTGTGCATATCCTTTTACGCAAAATTTGAGTTATTTTTTTGTTGGAATGAAGCTCCATAATCTTCTTAAGTTAGTCCATCAAGAAAACAAAAATGTAGTAGTTCATAATCTTGATATTGCTTTTAATGATAGATAGCCTAGGAACCAATGTTGTTCTATAGCTGCTTATGGAAGCTAATTTCCATACTAAAGGTGAGATTTCCAAGAGTATAACCTGGCATAGGTAGTGGAAGTGATGAGTATATGCAGAGCAAACTGTGGTATGGTAAATAAAAGATCATAAAGAATTGGAGGATTATCTTACTATGCTCTTTTTCCTTTAACAGCCTTATGACAATTCATGTAAGCTGACCCCAAATCAATTTGGGACTAAGGCTTGGTTTTTTTTTTTTTTTTTTTTTTTTTTTTTTTTGGGGGGGGGGGGGGGGAGGGGTTGTGGAGGAGGGGTAGCTGTGACCATTTGGGCCATATTAGGAATTTAGGACTATCTGAATATTGCCAAGCCAGCAAATTTGCTGATATCTTGAAAGCAACAAGAGAGATGGCAAAAACTCTTATGCACTTGAGAAACAAACTTGTTTGTACTTCTTGCACTTGGTTTTGATTGTCTATAATTGGTTCTTGCATCGTTTAAAGACCCAACTGTTCCTTTAATCTTGTGCATTCATATCCTATAAAATTGCTCCTGATTTGTCTGATTGTCTCGTGTCCAGGTTTTATTAACATGTTTTCTAAAACTGACCATCTTCATTTCTTGTTAATTTGCAGATTAGTATCTGGCATGAGCAACACTATAATCGTGGATCACTTTTCTGACAAATCAAATTGGTGTATTATTCTTGAAAAAACACAGTGAAAAATCTTTACGCACACCAAATACACCACTCGAACTTTGTTGCTGAGATGAGATCAGCAAGTAAATCACTGAAGCTGCAAATATATTTTATCATAGTTTAAGTAAAATTGTAATCCTCATCAAGCTTTTGCAAAATTGCACTAGAAATTACTGTGGGTGAGATAGTCGCTTCCCCGGCTTACAGGATGTTCTTTGAAAATCAAGCTGCGCAGCCTACGCTGGTTATAGTTTTACTTGTATCATCATTTTAAGACGCAGAAACATTTACAATATAGGGCAAAGTATAGCGTTATTTTACAGATTTTCTTGGTTAGCAAAGATTTACTTGTATTTAGAGCTGTCAATTCTGGTAATCGGGTTGGGTTTGGGTCGGGTAAGAGTGGGTCGGGTCGATTCGGGTTAATGACGTAACCTATGCGGGTCAGATTCGGGTTGGGTCACGTCGGGTCATACTTTTTATTGGGTTTGGGTCGGGTTTAGGTCGGGTTAATAACATGTCGGGTTACATTTGGGTTGAGTGAACAATAGGTCGGGTTTAATTCGGGTTTTCACGGGTTAGGGTGGTTCTTGGGTTCGAGTCAGGTTCGGTTCAAGTCAATAATTTACGAGTTAGAATCAGGTTGGGTCATTCTTGGGTTTCAGTCAGGTTCGGTTCAAGTCAATAATATGCGGGTTATAATCAGGTCAGGTCATTTTCAAGCCGGATCATTCGGGTCAATTATGCGCGATAAAGGGAAAAAAGATATATAACAACAGTTTCATGAGTAAATTTTATTAGGTGGTTCCGTAAGACTAAAATAGTAAGAATTACTTCCACGAGAATAAATTTAGTATAATAAAATAATGTTAGTGGATGAATAATTTATTATGGCTAGTAAAAGTAATATGGGGACCATAAAAGTGAAATTATGTGATAGAGGGTAGTAACGACCATGAGAGAGAAAATGATAAATTATTTGGGTATGGTTTAAAGTTAGAGAGAGAAGTAATAAAATATACTTCGTAGTATAAAATTAGTATAAATAGATTTGATGTTAAAAAAACGGAGGAAGAACGTAATATAAATCCAAATTCCTTTAAAAAAAATTAAAATAAAATAAAATAAAATTAGCATCAACAATTCAACATTAAAATAACAATAGATGAAGTCCGTGCGATGCACGGTTTGTTTGAATTTTTTAAACAATTTTTTTATACATATATTAGATGAAGCCCGCGCTGATTAGGGGATTTTCATCCTCCAATCACCGTCTGACAAGTGGACCAACCAGGTTCCGCCACGTGTCCTTCACGTAGGCCAATAGGAGCCTGCCACGTGTCAATCACAGATACGTCCTCTACGGACTAATTGAGACACGCCATGTGTCCGCCCATGCCAAATGGGAAAACCGGCCACCAAGGCCCAATCCTGTTTAGAGGCCCGGTCAGCCCTAGGTTTACCCTAAACCTAGAGAGTGGCACGCTTCTCAAGACTATAAATACTCCTCTTAATCCTCATTAAGAGGAGGACGGAAAAAGTGACAGAACACTAATCACTCACGGATTATACATTAAACACTCTCACCTAGAGAGACCTCATTACTTTAATTTCCGTAATCATTACTCCTTAATCAGGTACTAACTTGACCGTTGGAGGCGGAGCTCTCAGGAGTCTCCGTTATTTTGCAGGTACAGGCGGCCGGTTCCAGTCTCGGTGTTGTAACTCTCCCGCAGGACATCAGAAAACCCCGAAACATTTGGCGCCGTCTGTGGGGAGAGTACTTCTGAGATGGCATCCAAGTCTGTACCGACTCCTGAAGAGAGGCGTCCCCTAGACGACCCTCAAGTTCAGTCGGACCATGACACCGAAAGTGAATTTGAAGTGGAAACTCATACAGCTCCAGACGGGACCCTAAGGGCCCGACGTACCCGTCATACCGAAAGGAGGGAACGGGAGCATCTTCAAACAGGAAGCGAGCCAGCAGGCGCCCAGCCTGCTCGGCAACAGCCGACTGATGGGTCTGCTCCCATCACAAGGAACGAACTCATGACCTTCATGAGGGGCTTCAAGGGAGAGATTCAAGAATTGATCAACAAACAGCCGCCTGCTTCAGTCAGAGAGCAGTCGGCCAAAAAACCTTCCACTTCACTGAAGAGGAAGCCAGTTCAAGGGCGAGAGGCGACTCCTCATCCTAAATCCAAGAAGCGGGAGCCACTTGCTCTTGATTTCACAAAATTCCGTTATCCTACGGGAAATAGGAAACCTGTTCGTCACATTCAGGCGGACGGGTCGAAGAAAACATACACAGACGCTCGTCTGCTGTTAGAACAGAAGAAGAGTGACCGACTGTCAGAGTCGGCCTCTACTTCAAATTTTCAAGAAAGTTTACAAAATACCTCCATGAGGCATACACAGTCGTACCATGAGAGTCAGTCAGGCGGTACCTCCCGTCAGTCCGGCTTTCATAGTGCCCAGGCGGTACCAAACCCACCGTTTGTACCGCAACAACAGTATTTTATGCAGCCACCTCCATTTGGTGGACCTGCAGCAAAAAACGTCCAACCTATGGACTGGCAGCTACGGTTGCTTAGACTTGGTGAACAGCCGTCGGCCTTCTCCAAGGAAATTACTGAAGCCGTTCAGCCGGCCAAAGTAAAAAATGTACTAGTAGGCGCCTATGACGGCACTACTAATCCGGAAGACCATCTGATGGCATTCACCAACCTGATGTACCTTCAAGGGTTGGATGATCCCACTTGGTGCAAGTGTTTCCCAGCGACTCTCAAGGGAATCGCACAGCAATGGTTCGGCAACCTGCCGACTGGTTGTGTAAACAGCTTCAGGACGCTTGCTTACTTGTTTGCCTCCAACTTCGCCATGAACATCCCTGCAAAGAAAACGACCCTTGATTTGGGAACAATTCAGCAGGGTGAGAAGGAGGGGCTTCGTTCTTACATCAGGCGGTTCAACCTGATGAGAATACAGATTCAAGGGTTACCGGATGAGGTAGCCTATACTGACTTTTTTAGAGGTCTCAAAGACGGGTCTACTTTCAAATTTGACTTAGTTCGAAAAAGGGTGGCGACTCTTCAAGAGGCCTTGATTGAAGCAGAAGCCTATATACAGGCGACTGATCTGTGTACGATAAAACAGTCGGACGGGAAAAGGTTCGACAAAAGAGAAGGACGACAGAAACAGTCGTCTAACAAAGATGAGAAAAGAAAAGAGGTCTGGGCGGCTGATTCCTCTAAACAGCCGGCCCAGAAGAAGAAAAAAGAATTCAAACCATACTCCCCAAAGTATGTGTTTAACAAGGATAACCAGTTTATCCTAAAAGAAATAAAGGGACGGTTCTCAATTGAGAAGCCGGTCCCCATGAAGGGGTCTGCTAGCAACCGGAACCAAGACAAAATCTGTGCTTATCATGATGACGTTGGTCATCACACCAATGACTGCATCAGTCTCATGCGGTACCTAGACCGCTTGGCTGAGCAAGGTGATCTTGACACTTATGTCAAGAAATCTACGGGGAACACTTCCTCAAAAAAGCAGTCGGCCAAAAAGAATCAACAGGCCGACAGTTCCGATACAGATGATGCAGTCGTCTACACCATTGCAGGCGGCTTCTCAGGAGGCGGCCCCACTATTAGGGGCAACAAAGATAATATAAGGCGGTTAGATGTAAATTCCGTTCACCAAGAACGGCCGTCCAAATATACGTTTCCTGAGATTGTCATCACTGAAGAGGATCTAGGAGGGGTAAGGGGGGCGCATGATGACCCTCTTGTTATTGAATGTAAAGTGGCCAACCAGAGAGTTGGCCGAATCCTCATAGATACCGGGAGCTCCTCAGATCTTATCAGCAGCAAATGTCTGTCAAAACTGAAATATCAGACGGACTGCATACATCCGGCCTCCCACCCTTTAATAGGGTTTGGAGGAGGAGTCGTCCACCCACTGGGACGAGTAGATTTACCTATTCGCCTAGGCGAAAAAGGGGAAGGACGACACATGGTAGTCCGGTTCCTAGTAGTAGAGGAACTCTCGGCCTACAACATGATCCTGGGTCGACCAACCCTGAATAATTCCAAGGCTGTTATAATCCCGTCTCTTATGCTGCTTAAGTTTGAGAGGGATAATGGAACAGTCGGCTCCCTAAGGGGAGATCAGAGGATGGCCCGAGAATGCTATCTCTCGGATGTCAAGCCCACTGTTATGGCCACTGGGTCAAGTGGAGAAAAAACAGACTTTGACAATGTCAAGGAGAGTTCGCCTGTTCGAGAAACAGGCGACAAAAAGAGAAAGGCGTCACAGTCAGAGTCCGCAAGAAAAGTAAGAAAATAGCAATCATTGGCAGAGGAGCGGCCGGATGAGTTCCGCCCTCAGCCGGCTGGTGAGCATGCGGACCTGATCTTAGACGATTCACGTCCTGACCGAACAGTCAAAGTTGGGACGACTGCTCTGAGAAACCTTGGTGACGACTTTCACAACTTATTAAAAGAATACAAGGACATCTTTGCATTTGAAGTCCATGAAATGCCAGGCATTAGTCCTGATCTGGCAGTACATAAACTCGCTGTGGATCCGAAAAAGAAGCCGGTACGGCAAAAGAAGCGGAACCATGGCGACGAAAGAAGTCAGGCGGCAGCCGCCGAAGTTAAAAAATTACTTGATGCAGGGTTCATTCGGCAATGTTACTTCCCAGACTGGGTTGCAAATGTGGTTCTTGTTAAAAAGCCGAATGGTACCTGGCGAATGTGTGTAGACTACACAGACTTGAATAAGGCGTGCCCCAAAGACAGTTACCCTCTGCCTAAAATTGATAGCCTGGTCGACTCAACAGCCGGCCATGCGTTGATGAGCTTTATGGACGCCTACTCTGGTTTCCATCAAATCCCTTTGTGGAAGAAAGATCAGGAGAAGACGGCCTTCGTCACTGATCAGGGGTTATACTGTTACACGGTCATGCCGTTTGGTCTTAAGAATGCCCCGGCCACCTTCCAACGTATGATAAACACTG